AAAACAATCGCACAGCCCACAGTTTTTTAAGTTACTGCAAGGCTGAGTTTGCAGGGACACGCAGCTGAACACTGTGAAAAAGAAAGAACTCTTCCAGCAGTGAGGCTCTTTCCTGTCACTGAGGATGGCTCATGGTGTTGTAGGATGCAAGTCCAAAGGCAGTATTAATACATTAATTTATAAATAAAACCTCAAACACACCTGGAACATACCCAGACAGCTGAGTTTTCCATGTGAACATTACCCCAGGATCCCCCTCAGCATCAACAAAAATCAGAGCTGCACAAACTTTGGCTGCTGGCAGACAGCATCCTGCAAGCCAAATCTGCCCTCTGTTCCCACTCATGCCTCTTGCAGACTCTCTGCAGCCTCCACTGCTTCATTTGAGCTGCAGGTGAGCAGAAGAGGTCCGGGGGCACCTCAAAGCTCAGCTCCAGGGGCTCAGCATGTGGCCAGGAGCGGGTGGAAGGGCAGTGGGAGCTAACAGTCTTACTCAGACACTTCAGTGAGTGGAATGCCAAGGAGCTGGGAAAGGACGGGTGACTTTGTCTTTGGCACCTTACAGGGAAGTGTCAGGGAGGCTCAACAAAATACATCGCACGCTTATTTTTACCCCGATCTTACATATTTTTTTAAATTCACTTATTGCTTTCAATATTTCTTAGGATGAATTTTGGTGTGAGGGCGAGCTTTTGATTAAATTCTACATGTTACATGCAACTGCATCCTGTGTTTTGCTCAGACTTCATCTTTTCCGTAGAAACAGCACAGGCCGTCTCCGGGCGAGTGACTAATAGCTAAAAACTGCACACTGCTGGGTCCCTTCCAAAGGCTCTGTAGGACTTGTTTTATAATGTTTGTGGGTTTCGAGAAGTAAACAATAAAATGGGACAAACAACTGTTGTCTCTTGCCCCTGTTTATCTAGCTGAAAATACCTCTGCCGCTCCACTCTGCCACAGCCTACAGAACAGTTCAGCTAAAGCCAGCAGGTACTGAAGTACATTGCAGGTGACACAAGTGATGCTCTTACTGCAACTGCAACACTTAAAATTTCTTTTTCATTGGCCTCCTGTTCATGTATTGAGCCTGGTACAGCGGGCCTCTGGCCACTCCTAGCTGCCCCAACAGTTCGGCACCCACAGGCTGCTCTCAGGGTTTACTTTCTGTATTTTATTTTCAGTTCCAAGGAAGTCAGGAGCTGTACTCTCAGTTGGTGCCTCTGCGTGAGACCCAGTGCCATCTGCACATACCCACGCATCTTCAAATACATTTGATAAAATATACATGCTGTTAAATATCAAATCAGGAGACAAAAAAAAAAATTAAACTCAAGATATGGGGAAGTAATTAAATAATTTGAGCAGCAGAAACAAAACACGCTTTTTGCAGCACTGATGGTACTTGAAGCTTTCGCTGTGCAATTTCCCAGGCAGGAGCTGAACCCAGGTTCCCTGTGGTCAGCTGGACCTTGACAGCCTTCCCATCGAGCACTGCTCATTGAACGCCTTTGAAAGTACCACTGCCTTACCTGGATCTCACCGCTGGGCCTTTTCCTAGCCCCAATGCACTGCTTTTACACGGCCAGTTTAAAACCTGACTGATCCGGGCAGCTCGCTTGCTTCTTTGAAAATCATACAGATTACGTTGCAACTGCAACTATAGATTAAAATGAAAGTTTCCTTAAAGAAGGGGCAAAAGAGATCCAAGATTTATACTGATGACTAATTGACACACAGGTCTGGGGGGGTTGTTTTGTTGTTTCTTCTGTTTTGTTTTTTAACTACAGAGTAAAGCACATTTTTAACAAAACCACCACTGGAATTCATCGAAAGAACAGAGGCAACACGAACACTGTTACCCTTAAGGGAAAAACAAGCCGAAGAATGGAAATGTTTTTCGGCTTTATGATGAATTATGTTCCTAATAGTTTTGCCACAACAAAGCGCTTCACTGAGATGCCAGCTTTGTGCCAGATCAGGACACATACAGGATTATTTTAATAAGCTCTACAAGAGAACCGACATTGCCAGATGAGATACAGGATGAAAAAAAAAAAAAGGGCTTACTTGTTTTTCAAAAGCAGTTGGCACCAGCCGCCTCAGCTCAGATAAACTGTTATTTATACGATCCCGGCGCCTTTTCTCTATAATCTATTCCCAAAAACAAAACACGGTAAGTTTACAGAATTGTTGAAGGGCAAAATTACAGCACGCACGCAAGTTGTCACACGGGAAAAGAACGAAAGGACACGTACCCCTCTTCTTTTCTTTCTGGCCATAATCTGAGATGTTGTGGTTGGGGAATTTGGTCGAAGCACAGAACTATGGCTTTGCCTGGGAAATGACAAAAGTACATCAGGAGTTGTACAATGTGACAAACTGCTCTCTGAAGACATCTTAGATTGCCCTATTGAGTACCCATAGTGCCGTCACATGTTGCTTAGGACACACTGGGTTTTCAAAGAGACATTTTGTTTTGGATTGGTCCAGCCAAGCGGATTGCTCTGTGAACTGCCAGAACCCCCTGAAAGGTTCTCTAGCAGATGGTTCACCGTCCAGCACAGGTTTCATATTCATTGTATCTAAAATCATGCCTACAAATACAGTCCGTAGAACTGCATTCAAAGGAAAAAAACATGGACGACCTTTACATGATAGCTGGAACAGATAATCTTAGAGGCCCTTTCCAACCACAATGATTCCATGTCTCTATGCTATCAGCAGCAGATGTACGCTATGTTACAGGCCCGGCCAGGTTTTGTCATTCCTGTCACCTCAGCGGGCACTCACGCAGGAGGGCAGCGCCCTGCCAACACCTGCTACCTCTTCCAACACCATCAGCACAGTGCTTTTACAATCTGCTTTTACAACTGCACTGCCTACAGCCACGGAAGGGTCTCAACCTCATCACGAACAGGCTTGCTGTTTGACAGACTGTCCCCAGTGATGGGGACAAGCCGGGGCTCAGTGCCCATACCACTGCGTTGCTCTCATTGGCCCTCAGACTCGAGCTGTCCCTGCAGAGTCCCCCCCCGACATTTCCCCCTCCTTCCTCCTCTTCTCCCTACCCCCCCACTTCCCCGAGTGGGGAATCCATCTCCATCGGCTCACAGCGGGGTTTGCTGCTGTTCCCATCCAACCACCGGACCCACAGCTCATTTTCTACTGGCTCCGATTCAGTTCGGTTGCTCGGCGCCGATCGGGAGTGACTTCGCGAACAGATCCCACTGCACGCAGTGCATCACGCGGGGCTGCCGGGCGGCTCACGCACCCCCCGGGCTGGCACTGCCCCGAGCTCCAGGCGGCGCGGGGGTTCCCAGACAGCTGCGGGCTCCGAGTGGTGCCGGGGATCCCGGAGCAGCCCACACTCTCGAGTTTCGGGATGCTGCCGTTATGGAGTGCAGGGTTTTGGTGCCCAGGGTTTTGGCCCTCTGCGCCCGCGCGGGTGGGACTGGGGGGTGAGGGGGCGAGCCTGGGATGTGGGTCCCGCTTACCCGCAGTAGTTGTTCTCGCTGCCCACATCGATGGTCTCGTCCATGTCGCTGTCTGAGGTAGTTTCCTCGCAAGGTCGCTTCATCGCGGCTCAGCCCGCAACCGGCGTGGGGCAGAGAGAAATAAATCCGGACGGAGGCTCCGGCCAGGCACGGCACGCACCGCACCGCCAGCAAAGCGAACCGTCTCTGAGACGCTTTCCCACGCCGCGGCACAGCCTCAAGCGCGCCGGCCCGCCCCCGGCCAGGCCCGCCCCGTCGGGAGGACTGGACGGAGGGAGGCAGGGCGGGGGCCGCCCACCCGGGAGACGGAAAAAAGTCTCGGGCGAAGGTGTCGGGATCCGCGAGGAGAGGTAACGAGGCTCCCGGCCTTGGGAGGGAACGAAAGGGAGACTCTCGGACTGTACCCCCACTCCGTCCCGCGGGGCCCGGCGTGGCGGCCGGCCGGGAGCAGGGAGAGTGAGCGCCCGGGGGGGCCGGAGCCGCGGTGCCGGCGGGCGGCGGCACTTTGCCCGATGCCCCCTGTGGAGCGTCGCTGGGCCAGGGGGAGGGAAGGAGGGAGGGGGACGCAGCGCTCGGGTGCAGGTGGCTCTGCGCGGTGCTGGAGGAGAAGCCAGGGGCAGCCCTATTTCCCTCTGTGCAGTGATGCGGTGATATCGGTGGCACGCCGGGCGCAGGCTCTTCACGTGGCTGTCGCTGCTGTGTCGCCCTTCGCACGCCCGCGGTACCGTCAGCGGGAGATGCACTGTCGCTGGGACGCAACCGAAGCGGAACGACCGCGGGAAGGGCCGAGGCAGCTCAAAGGGACTCGGGACGCGTGCCCCACAGTGGCCCCTTTTATGGTATCTGAACAAAAAATCAACCAATCCAAACAAAAACAAATAAGGACGGGGACCACTCCGGAGAAAACGATCCAGCGGGAGCAGCCTGCGGCGGCCGGCTGCCGTACCCGTGCCCTCTCCTGGGGCTGCGGCTGCCGCAGAAGACCGCGCGACGCTCCCGGGACGGGGCGGGAGGCGGGCGCGCAGTGCCCGCTAATGGCGCTGCCTTCAGTCGCCCGCGGTGCGGCACGGTGCTCGCTTTCGGGGCTCCGCACGGGCATGTGCTGATCAAGTCAGTGCCGCTACAGCTGTATGATGTGTGCTCATTGTGGCCATAGTTAAGGCTGCCTTACCATTTTTCTCTCTCCCTCTCTCTCTCTTTTTTTTTTTTTTTTTCCCTGGGGCACAGTTCTGCCGTGCTTTTCTCTTACAGAGAAACCCGAGCTGTCCCGTGCTTACTTCCTGAGCTAGGCTGATGTCAGGGCTGTGCATCGTGGAATCGGCTGCGAAATCCTGACAGCCCTGCTGGGGTCTCCTGGAAACCCCCAACGCTAAGAGGCCTCTGCTGCACCCAGTTTAGGCAGGTTCATTTCGTTTTCTTTTTGTCCTTTCTTCTTTCTTGCTTTTCTTTTTAATCTTTCTCTTTTTTCTTGATTTTCTTTCATTCTTTCCCCGTTTCTTTTATTCTTTTTCTCTTCTTTTTTCTTTTTTTCCTTCATCTCTTTTTTCTCTTTTTTTTTTTTTTTTCTTCCTTCCCATCCCCAACCCACCCGTTCCCCGGGGGCCATTTTGGGCTCCCCCATGCCGCACTGTCTGCCAGTCCCCGCCCGGAGCCGGCAGCAGGTGCGCGGTGGGGGCCATGCAGGAGCTGCGGGCTGCAGCCGCTGTCCGCTTTTTCCGTCGTTGCCGGGCGGAGAGAGGTGCTGTGAGGCGCGTCCCTCCACTGCAGAAAAGCGGGGCTTCTCTGTATGTCTGCTTGCAGAGGAATTACCACTCCTGAGCAAGTAGGGCTCGCGTTAATGTATCCCTTCCCGTTCTCCAGCGCTTTTTCCCCCGAGGTAACAGCCATAGGGCACTGCTATGCTTGGAGCCGCGGAGCCTCCGGGCGGCCTAAGGGCGGAGCGGGGTGGAGACTGCGCACAGGTCCGGCGTCCAGCATCGCTCCGAGCCGCTCCCCGCCGGGGGAACCGGGGGAACGGTGCTCCGGGATGGCTGCTTTTTTTTTTTTTTCTCGTTTTTTATCCCCCATTTTGCCCTCTTCAGAAGTGCGGTGCAAATGAAGGCTGGGGCGGGGTGGCCGCCGCGGGACCACGGATCCCGCTGGCCGGGAGCGCTTCTAGAGATTTTGGGATTGCTCCTTTCAGACAGTGGGGGACGTGTAAGGTGCAGTAGTTGGGCATGGCGTCCCGACAGAGCAGCAGCTGTCACCCAGCAGCTCTATCCCATGGCACTCAAGATTGTTCTGAGCTTCTTTATGGCTCTTAAAACTTCTGTCATGGAGTTGTGTCTTGTATTTTACCATCTGACTTCTAAACAAACGCATCTCATTTCCTACACACTGTGAGCAGCCCCATATGAGTAAGTGTTCTGCAGCTTTTATTTTCTCTTACTGGGAAGCTTTCAGAACAGTAGAGGAGAGACAGCCATGGCTGAGAACAAGGAAGCTGTATTTTCTTCCTACTGATGGACTCATCGGTAACTGCTAGTAAAAGCAAGAAAAAATACTGTTGTCTTTTTCTTTTTTTTTCCCCACCTGATTTGATTCCAACTAGAAGTTTGAGGTGATTTCTTGCCATTCACACCAAAGTGGTTCTGACAGATTGAGGAAAGAGCAGAGAACCGAGGAAATCATGTGTTGCGAATGTGAGGGAGATAAAAGTAGAGGCATGCAGCGTTGCCAGGACTGTATGTGTGGGTGTGCAGCGTTCGTCCCAGTTCGCAGCAAGCAGCCTGGCAGCCTGGCAGGGCTCCTGCCAACAGGTCTCAATGGGGCTGAGCCTTCAGTAGCTGCTGTGGGGCTGCAGCCATGAGTGTGCAGTGATAGAGCTGTGCTCCCTTGGCGGGCTGCACTCACACCCGCAGATTGTTTCGTTTTATTTCAGTTCTGGGAAGTATAAAAATTGCACGGAGACTTGCTTTAAGAAAACAAAATGTCAAGCTGATGATGAGTCAAAAAAAAAAAAACCAAAAAAAAAAAAAACAAGGAAGGAAAATATAGTGAGTATTTGTAAATCCTTCGCAGTGACATCTTTCAGTGGTTATCACTGAGTAGCACCTCTGCAGATGTGCTCTCGGTGAAGCCAGCTATTGGGTTTTCAGGCTGCCAACTGAAAGCACAGCTCCACATGCCCTGCAGTTTGCATTCCCCACCTTTTGGTGCCTACAGAGATCAATGAATGCACTCCTGCGGGTCAAGTGCTGCCTCCTGCCCCCCAGTCAGTGGATGCTGCTTGTTTGTGCGGTACTCTCGTTAAATGCATGAAATGCTTGAGCTGTCACTGCTTCCTAGGTGATGGGGAAGGGCAGAATGTCCTCTGGCTCAGGGCTGTGCAGGATGGTAAGACAAGGATGGCGGGATGGCACCCCTGGACTGCAGGGGCACACTGCAGTCGGGCTGCAGGCGTGAGCCTCATCCTTCCCTCCTCACACCTTTGCATGCTTCCTCTGTGAGCTTGGGCACTCAGACCAATTAATTCTATTAACAAAGGGTGTAAATTAGAAGTGTCTGTGAACTGTATTGAGCCTCAATTTGCATGGTCTTATTCACAACAAAAGTGGCTGCAATTTGATTTAAATTAATTCACTTTCAGAATAAAATAACACTGAGTAGAATAAAAGCAGCTTTAGTTTTGAATGGTTGTCTGCGTAGAATTGTTTGTGGTTTAACTAATCCACTTCAAAAATAACTCTTATTAATTTTTGTGGGCTTTTCCCTCTAGGTTAGCTTGCTTTGTCTCTTTCTTTCAGTCTCCTATCAGTAAAATGGAGATAGTAGTAGCCTGCTAACATTTTAAAATTGCTGTGTTGAATACTCCTGGTAACTGCAGCATTTTGCCTTCCACTCGGTGCGTAGGTTTCTCAAAACCCAGGACTTGATTTTCTACACATGTGTAGAATTGTTGCCTGGCAGTGTTCTACAGGCTCTGTACGCAGCTGTACACGGCCGCACAAGACAGATAGCAGTGGGGAATGAAGGCTTTGCTGCGCATTTTGAACTCTGACCAAACAACTCCTTGGCTTTGGTTCCGTGTTTTCTTCAAAGACTGTGGGCCAAGACTTAAGAACTGTCTAACTTTTGTCATCTTAATGAACGGTTTCAGTGGTGTTAATGGGAACTAGGGCACTTTCTTTATTAATGGAAATCAGGTCATTTAATTACCTAACAAAAATGCACCTAACCTCGTCTCACTGCTTTCTGCACTTCATGAATTATGAACTTTAATCTGTTTTAGAGAAAGCTCTACTAAAACGGATGAAGCTGCAGTGGGTATAAAATTATCTTTTTATAATGGAAATGCTTATTGTAAAAATCAACACACTAGCATAACTTTCTTATTGGAAGTCGCTGCTATTTAAATCTTCGCAGTGATGTAGCATAGTTTGACTAAGTCATGGTATGTAACTACTGAAAGGCCAGATGAACACATCAGCACATCTTCTGTCAAAAATGGGAACACTGAGATATTACTATTTTTTTTTAAATCAAAGCTTGGTGGGTTTTGGACTGGAGGGATTCTTTTATTCCTTCCCATTCCTCCCCCCCATCCTACTGTCTGCTTCAACGTTTTCCTTTCTTTCTTGAGTGGTTTCACTCCAAGCGGGACTTCTTTTGTGCCTTTCAGTTGCCAGAAGCTGGAGAATTGTCATTATTTGAATTTTGCTGTTGGTTGTTTTTTTAAAATAAAAACCAAGATGCTTTCCAGAGAGTCAGGAAGAAACCAGCTCTCGGAAAGTGCTAAGGAAACAGTGGCTTTAGCTGAACTTTTCTATATGAGAGAAAGGTATAAATCATCTTCAGGCTTCAAATCTAGCTGTTAATAATAAAGCACATCACCTAATGCTCTAAAAATACCCCTGTGTATAGACTATGCATACAACAAAAATAAGCAACCCCAGATATTCTGGCAAGATCTGTGGTATTTTATTTCACTTCCTCAGTAACAGTAGTCATTGTTGGCACCTGGAAATGACTGTGAAAATACAGATCCCTGTAAAGCTGGGTAAATAAAGGGACATGCTCCACTTCTGCTTGTCAGTAGAAGAAACTGTGACGTCTGACAGTTATTAATGAAAATATTTTCTCAATCTCTGCCATAAAGAATGCAGAGGCAAAATAAATCCTTGGTAAAATCTGTTCCCAAAATAAGCCAGCATAGATGCAGTTCAGAGCCAGAAACTTCCACCGCCATAGAATTTAGTTAAGGATCTTAAGACAAAAAGGTAACCTGTTTTTCCATGAACTCAAAGTTACAAATGCTGCCATGAATGTGTGTCTATGAAGAGAACCACCATCTTAAACAGCTGAAAGTTCCCTTTTGTCCATCAGTCTTTTTCAGAGGGAAAAAAACTGCTGTTGTCTTGGTTGTCCTCAGCATTGTGTATTAGAACTGCCTGCTCTGAAGCAGGACTTTTCTCTGATCCTATAGTTAACATTGCATCTGATCCTGCTGGGCTTAACTGGGAAATCTTGTGTTGACTGAATATGGCTTTTGTTTGAATAAAGAAATTGAAGAGCTCTCTGGAAAAGCTGGGCCTAGTTCCAATTTTCTTCTCAATTCTAAAATAAAAGGATGCTGTCAAGGTATTTGTGATTTATGGGGGCAAATGTGTTTCTCTCCTTCAAAATCTTGTATCGCTTTGGCAGCAGTATAACATCTTTTCTGATTCATTTTATTCTATGCACCTTTTCAGTTTATTCAGGATAAAATAATAAAATAAATGTGTGCTTTAATTTAGAGGAAAAGAGATAAGACTTTCTCTTTGGGAGGAAAGCGCGCTCTCACCGGGGTTCTGAGGACACGTCATGCTAATTGTTGGTGACTTTTAAAACTGCTCTTTGTGGTGCAAGAGACGAAAAATTCTGTGTAGACTGAGGGCTTTCCAAAACGCTAAATGCTTTCTTTTGCTTGGTAAGTTGTTTCTTCATGTGTTTTATTTCCGTGGCAGATGTTAACCAAGGGACGTGAAATTCCTGCCAGAGAACGCGCTGCTTTTGGTGCTCACACGGCTGCTGGTGCTCACCTTTGACAGAAGCCAAGGCTCTGTGTTGGGACTTGGGCCACACCGGCTGTGGGGCTTGGGGTCCCTCAGAGCCCTGCTGCCTCCTCAGCCCCACTGCCTGTCAGCACTCCTGCTGCTTCCATGCCGCTGAGGCCTGGTGCTGGGAGTGTCACAGACGCTCTGTTTCACGTTTCCTCTGTTGCTTTGTTTGTCACCACGGAATGTATTTTTACTGAAGATTTTTAGCATTTTTAGCTTCCTTTTTTGAAGCTTTTTTTTTTCTTCTTCTTCCAAACCATCGCTCCTGTGTGAAAAACTGGCCTCCCTGATTGTCTGCAGGCCCTGCTCCTCAGCCTTTTTTCCAGCTTTTGATTGTCCCTTAATTTTCTGCTACTGTTGGGGGGGCACACTGCAGATTTGCTCCCTTCTTTCTTCCTGCACCCATCTCTGGGTCAGGCCTGAGGACATCCTGAGAACACCAGCTCACAGAACTTGCTTTCAAGCAATAACTTCTCCCCAGCCATGCAGAGATCTTTTACATCTTGTTTTGGTAGGCTCTCACACTTCCCCCACTACCTCCCTGGTCTTTGGCTTTTACACAGTCAGTTGATCTTTTCTTCCCCTTCCCTAAACCTTTCGTCTTGCCTGCTTCCTCAGAGGTGGCTGACAGTGTCAGTTCTTCCAGAGTTGATGGTTTTTAATGCAGGTGTCCTCTCTACCTTCTTGTGTGCATAGTCAGGAAGACTGCATGCTAGTATGGCTGGCAGGTTTTCCTATCAGAGCAATGAGTACTTTGACTCTCCTGCTAGATAGACAAGACTTTGTGGAGGCTTCCCTCCAGCTTCCCATACACTTTCTGCTGTCTGCTTCTGGGCTGTCCGGCTCACCATTCTGGTTAACAGCTCTGACCACATCACTGCTGGCACCCTCATTCCCTCCCAAAACACAGTCTTCCCTCCTTGGCCCTTCCCAGTCCTCCCCTTCCCTCATCCCTTACCACACTCACTCTCTCCTCCCTTCTCCTGCTGGTCCACTAAAGCCAGATTATCTGCCCTCCCTCTCTCCCTGCTAGCTCATCTCCTGCAATGCCTTCACATTTCTGGGGGGCCTAACGGCAGGCATTGCAAACCTGGGTATTTATTTACTAGATATGCCCATATCCATAAACTCCCCAAAATTTCACCTCATCCTTGGATCTCCTGGTGGCTGAGACCCCCACATTGAGGTATTTCACACATGGTTTTTTTGCAAGGTGACCTTTCAGAGTAGTGGCACTTGGTCTTGATCAGGCGTCCACCTCAGTAGATGACTTGGGTTGACACAATCAGTGGGGATTTTTTGCTCCTGATAGGGGAATTCCAAGCGCCAGCTGCAGCCCTGAGGTCTGTCAGGGAGGAAAGAGGTGAGAGGGATGAGCTCCAGAGATCTCCCTGCCTCGGGTGGGGATGAAGAGAGGGAGCAGAAGTAGAATGTTTCCTATGTGGACTCTTTGTTGAGGAAATGGGCTGACAAACTTTCCTGCTCTGAGAGGCAGCCCTAATAGTAATAACAAGGACAAAGAAAAATCTTGCTGCTATTCACTGTAGAGATGGGATTATCACTCAGACTAAGTGCAGTGCCAACCTGAAGTAAGCCAGTACTTGCACAATGTGTACAAACCACTTGGATGTCCCCCTTCTGAAGACATGTTCCCAGCAGGGCTCCCAGCAGGTGCTCAGGGTGTGGTTCCATCCAGTGTGCTGCTTTTCCTGTGGTTTCAGAACTGCAAAAGAACATGTGCTTCATGTGTTCACTTAGAGTAACCCACCCGGAGATCATTACTTTTGTTGTTAACAAACCTATGCTTCATTTGTTCATATACCAGAAAATAAAATAGCATAAATTATTTGGATGTAATGTCTTAGTTTCAGCTGGGATTGAATTGTTTGAGTGTCTGGTATGATGCTATGTTTTGATTCTAGGAGGAAAACAGTGTTGATAATTCACTGATGTTTATAGCTGCTGCTAAGCAGTGTTATACAGACCCAAGGCCGTTCTCAATGAAGGGCCCAAGGAGCTGAAAGGAAACAGAATTAAGACCGCTGACTTAAACTGGCTGAAGAGATATTCTGTATCATATTACATCAAGTGGAAGGAGTTATGAAGGGGGAGGAGTTCATCTCTGGCCCCCAATGCTGCCTGGGGGGCTAGCTGGCCAAGGGTGGTGAGCAATTGCTTGCGCATCACTTGTTATATGCATTCATATGTGGATATACATATATATATATATACACACACACACATATACACACACATTTATATGATCTTTTTCCTTTTCTCTATCTTAGTAAATAGTTCTAGCTCAATCCATGAGTTCTACTTTGTTAGTGATTCTCTCCTCTATCTCACTGTGAAGAGTTGGAGTGAGCAAATGGCTCATGGTGGTGCTGAGCCACCTTCCAGGTTAAACCACAGCACTTAGATTTTCAGCATCACTCTTCCAGATAGAGGTTCTCCAGGAATCCTAACTTTTTGCTAGTTAAAATGATCTCAGAAGAGAAAAACATCTAACAGACCAAATACAAAGAGGAAATGCTAGCAGTGCATTACAATCAAAAGAAAAAATGACAGAGCTGGTTGGGCCATTGATTTCTTCTGTACTGATCATAAATTGTAAGTAAGCAGACTACTGTAGAGATGCTAAACAAAGCATGTAAGATTATTTAAAATTTAGAAGACCTGTAATAGCAATGAGGAAATGAACGTGACAGAAAGGAACCTGGAAAGGTCAGCAAGCAGATTAAATGTTGAAACAGTACAGACCAGTTCATCTAACAAAACACTGACCAAGGCATAAAGTGCAACATGAGAAGTGGGAGCACATTCCGGCAAACGAATGACCCCAGTGTATTTCTCATGCAGAAAACTTACGAAGTGGCTGATGTAGCTCAGTTGATCAAATGGCCCTGTACCTCAGGGCAAGCCTGCACAGATAGCGCAGGAGTAAATCCTCACAGTACCTGCGGTCACTACTGCATATAGAAGAAAGACAACAGTGCAGATTGCCTTCCGCTCTGTGTTTCATATTGCTCTCCCTTTCTCCTTCAAATCACAGTTTTTTTATTTAAAGCACAATTTTTTTTACAGGGATCAGATTCAAAATGAGAGATATTTTGATGTGATAACCCTGTAGAAAGAAAGTGGAGTTTCACTGCTGTGAACAGTTGTAGAATGAAGGGAGTGTGTCCACATTCCATTTTATTACCTGCTTCTTTGTTTTCCCTTCCCAGTGGGCACAGAGAGCGTTTGCTTTTACATGTGTGCCCAAACAGATTCAGGATCTATAGCTGAGGGAGAATTTAAGCCCTTCAAAATCACTGGAAGAACCTGCTGAGTTAATTTTTAGCGTAGTCAGTTTTGCAGTTTGGGGTTGGCTGGACTTCTGATATATTGCTGGGGTTTCATGGTTACTGGCAAAGTGACCAGAGAAGTATTTCACAGAGTCATCTAAAGGAGAAAAGAAAACATCCTAACAGAAGACATTCCAGCAGATGACTTAACTTTTAAAAATCCATTTTGAAATTTGTGTATATAACTCTACATTGTACGCAAAATTGTAGCAGAAAACCTGCTTCTAATTTCTCTTTTCCTACATCAGTAAGTATATTGCCCAATAAAGATATGTTCAAATACATTTTGTAAGAGATAATATAAACCTAAGAGTATAAGGAGTGGCAAACACTTGTTCTCAAAAAATGGTGTAACAGATTTGATGCTAATCCGTAGTTCAGTGTCTGACTAGTCTATGTGATGTCTCATTTAAAGCCCTATGATGTTTTACTAATAGGATTCTTTTCATTGAGCTCTGTACAAGTATGTCTGTATAACCTTGTTATTAGTCACTTCATTAACCATTAATTAAATTAATACATAGTGTTTAAAATCTGCATCTTGCTAATATACAATAGGACAGCTTTTGAATATAACAGCAACTTATGTTGAAATATTTTCTTGTATTTTTTAAGAGCGTGAGCACACTTCCTAGACTCAAAATACTCAGACTTACTGGCTCCCACAAAAAAAAAAAAAAAAAAAAGAATAAAATTATTCAAATGGCAAAGCTGCAAAACTACAGTTCAAAGGGTGAAACTTTTCCAAAGTGATCCAGTAATAATAAATGTAAATTTTGCAATGACCACTTGGTGTCATCTAGTCAGAGCTAGTTTGTTAGATTCTTGTTCTAGGCTTGGTTTTAGTGTTAAGAAAAGGGCATTTAATCTTGATTATCTGAGAGCTCAGGGCCCAGTGTTAGCTCCTATTCTCTGTAGGTGAGATCCTCAGAGGCGGTATTGCGCAGTCATTGGAAGACCACCAACCTAACAATTGCAGTCTCTCTTAGGAAGGCTGCTTTGGGGGCAGACCATAGTGTACTACTTGAGTCTTTTTTGCCCTGATTGTAAAGTTATTTTGCTGCCAGCACCTCTGGTGAGCAGAAAAGGTGATTACATCTTGCTCAGTCTATCTGAGGTCAAAACCTAGGGTTCAGTAAGTGGTAGACAGAACTATCAGGTGGCAACAGAGGAACCCTTAGGAGCTCCTGTGTAAATCTGGCGTCAGCTCAGAGCAGCTCCACTCACTCAGCTGCATGAGCAGGCAACTACTTTGCCGGTTTGCCAGTGAGAGGAAAACGCTCAGCCCTTGAATGAGACAAACAACTCCAGGTCTCCTGGGGGGAAGCACATTTTTCAAGAACTCCTTGTGAGGTGAAACACTTGGAATATTTTTTCCTTTGTGAAGGGCCTCCTCTGTTCTGCTCCCCAGTTGGGCGACCCCGCAGAGAGTTACACCCAGCAAATGGGTAATTGCGTGGAACTTGGAACTGAGGCTTGGAAAATCTTTTTGTGTTTAAATCTGTACCTAATCAAACGTCTACTCGCTCTGTGAGGAGAGAGCATAGAGCAGAGCAGGAGAATATTTCACATTGGTCGAAATGAAAGATAAGGTTTTGATTTGATGGCTTTGCTGACCACTTGCACTCAGTTTGCCAGGAGACTTGTGTAGGGAGAGGATGTTTTTGTAAGGGTTTTATTTGTTTCATGTATCAGTTTGCTGTATTAAATGTTTATGATGGTTACCTTTGCTGCTTATAGACTAAAGAATCTGATTGTGTTTGGTGCTGTTTACCACAAAAAGTGTAATACTGGGAGTGTAACGGAACTGTGAAAAAACAGAGGTAGAAATAAGGACAATTAGTAAAATGCAACAAATATGTAGTTGGTTACTTACCAAAAAGAAAATAGTCATAGTTTGTCAGCACTGTGATGATCTAGTTATCCAAAGATCAGACTATTGCAAATTGATGTTGACAAACTGGGGGGAATTCACATAAAAGAACTCAAACCACTGTTGGACTTTAAGGACTGGTTTATGGGAAAGATTAAAACAGCTAGATAAAGCCTGTCTGTCTAGGTACTTGCATAACAGTAATGAATGTGATGCATTGTGCTGCGTGGTGAAGGACTTGGTGGAAGCCGAGGGAATCCAGTGACCACTTACAAAGTTGTAGGCTGCAAGCATGAAGAAAGGAAAAAAAGTGGATGAGGATTGCTGAAGGAGCACAAGTGCTAAGATGAAAAGGAGGAAAGCTCATGCCAAACACTAGGAAATATTACCTCCTGTGAGAACAGTTAGTCTGTGGTCAGAAGTTATACAAAACCCCTCAGTTGAGTCATTTAAACTGAATTGTAAAAAACACTCTAGAAAATATGCTGTATTGGCACAGGGTGAGCTTAGATCGGGAACAACCAGTCTACCCCCTGGTTTCCTTTTTCCCAAGGGCCATTTACAGCTAGCATGGTAGATATTATTTGACTTAGCAAGAAGCAGAATGCATATGGCTGGAGGCAAAGAAGGAAAATTCAATGCATGGATTTTGTGCATGGTGAGAGCTCAATGGCTTCTCTGTGCAGATGCAGTAGCCCCACGGGCATGACATGTGGCACAGACAGGCAGGAACTAAGCTTGATACAAGCTTTTTATCAACTCTGATCTGATCTGCCCTACATCACTGTTCATTCTGTGTGAAGAGGAGTTGCTAGAAGACACAATGAAGACAGAGCCACGCCTGTTGATCCTGTGTTCACGTTTCATGGTCAGTTGTGTCTGTGCAAGGGAAGAGACAGGCAGCAGGCTCGCCAAGACATGGCCCCTCACTGCTCTGATGTGCATCACCTCTCTCTCCTGCCTCCACAGGTTTCCCACATTTTTGGCCAAGGAGAAAAACAGTTGAGACTGTCACTGTGAGCATGTTTCCTTCCTGTCTTGTATTGGTAAGGCACGAGTTACAGGGATTTGGGGGGAAGCTCTACAGCAGCTGGAGAGTCTGGGAAAAAAAGAAGCATTGCTCTGTTGAGAGCCTCAGGACAAAGGTGCAAAGTGAAAAAATTATCTGGTGTGTAGAAAATGCTAAGTCTACTTACTCACCCTGCTGAGGTCAGGGTCTTGGTGGTGCTCATCATGCACACTCCATTGCTCCTGTTTGCTTCTCCAGGAGACTGCTCCCTGTGGCTTTACCCCAGCACGGTCACCACAGCGTTGACCTGGCCAAGGAAATTTAAGAACAGTTTCTATAATAAATGCCATCTTTATTTTGAGGGAAAATGCTATTAAGCCTCAATCCTCAATCCATATTTGTTGGAGAATTTTATTTTTCATTTCATTTACAAAGGCCACCTCAGAGTATGCTTTGAAGGGAATGAGCATGGGTACTTATTTCCCGATAGTACTTATTGCTCCATCACAGCAAAATGACCCCAAAGGCATAAATAATTAATTGTTTAAGCACTTCGTGGGTTTCAATGTGTTTTTTATTCACAGTACTCCTTTGAGCTGCAGAAATGCTTTATCTGATTAAAGATGTTATTTGTATTGTTCTGATGGGCATGGAATGGGCTAAGCCTGGTCTGAAGTGAAAAGTGGAGGGACTGAAGTTGTCCTGCAGAGAGAAAGGGGAGAAGGAGAGGATAAACCTGAGGAAGAGAGATAGGGGAGAGTTGTGCCTTCTGCTCATGCTAGTGGGTGCTCACCTGGTGAAAAAAGGGAGGACCAGCAGCAACTGGTCAAGTAAGGTCAGGCGGCAAACCCGGCTTCTCAAGCCTGTGCCACCAGTGGACCAGACCACAGGGCTGCTGTTGACAACTGTTGACATCCAATCCCAGCCCTGTGCTAAGCCAGACCTTTGAAAAAATAGCCAGACTTATCTCTTTCTTTCAAAATCTACCTAGGGATGCACTGTTTGTTTATTACATGCCTCAAAAATGTGATGGATGTGAACAGATTCTGTTGAATTTATGGTCTTCTGGGATGACAATAAGAAAAAGAAAAAAAAAAAAGTGCACCTGCAGTTTCTTATCTTCATACTCTTTTCATGGAAAGTATCCTGCACAAAACCTGCTGCCAGCCCATGACGTTCTGATGTGGAGACAAAAAGATTTTTGGATTAATGACATACAACCTCATGCCCAGTGAATGCAACCAGCCTTCCCCAGGTATTTGGAGAGTGATTCTAATAATTTTACTTACAATACTTAATACTTCTCAAATACTTAGATTCTTCAGCATTCTGACCTAGTGATGTCTGTTCATGTTATGTATTGCAGCAGGGGAAGCCAAACTCAGCTGGAGACTTTCTACTCATATGAGTGTGTGGGTTGCCAAACAGCAGGATGCTCTTCAAAGGATGTCCTCCAAAAGTGCCTTTGGTCTCCATACCTGAAGCATGTTAAATTTTGGCTAAATTGCAAAGCATCTTCCTTTCTTTGTCAGTCTTAAAGTCCTGGTAGCAGAAAGTGGACTTGGCTCCTTTTAAACTGCAGTGGGATGTATAATCTGCTTGATAAAGCATCCTTAGCAGAATAAGATAGGTAATCTTTTCTGGAGGAAAAATGGAGTAAAAGCTCCAGTGAATAAATACAAGATTGTTTTCAACACTCTCCTCCTGGACTCCTGCTGTTGAGTGACTGCAAAATTCAGAGAGATTATTTTGGCAGTTCCAAAAATCTGTCACACAGATCGGAGTTTTTTTTTCCCTTGCATTTGTCAATGTGTGACTAAGCACAAGTATTACAGGAAGCATGGAAATGTTTGGGCTTTAAAGAATGGTTGTGGAAAAAGACCTCCTACTGGTTTAACAACTGCTGTTTAATAAAATAATTTTCGGATGTCCAAATTGCTGATTGTTCCGCTGAGGGTTACGTTCTGACCAGAAGGGATCCCACCAGTCCCATGTCATCAGCCTGGGCACTTTGTGAAGTTTTCTGCAGCCATTTCCTGCTTCAAAACAATGAAGGATGAGAGATGCTCATCGTTACTCCCTATGGTGCAGGGAAGTGTTCATCTCAGTCTCTAGGACGGCATCAAAATCTGAGGAGAAGGAGTCAAAACAGTTTCACTGAGGTACAAGGAAGAATCTTTGCTTGGGCGATGCAACTGTTTGCTTGATTTGGAAGGCCCATCTAGAAGGGGAAAAGCAGAATGTGTCTCACTAAAACGCTGAGAGTCATTGTGGATGTGCTGGGAGGAATTTCCCACTTCTCTGTCCACAGCAGGACCCTGGCCCAACTGGCTGCTTGCAGACTGCTCTCGTGCTTCCTTCAGTAGGGCTTGCACTCACATTGCTCATGGTGCTTGGACTGTTTTGTTGTAGTAGCACACTGTGCCAGATCAGTTGCTCACACATGCGATCACTCATACCTGTTTCACTTTAAGCTCTTTCCTGCTGTGCTGCAAGGCTTGAGTCTTACTCACTGTCTTGTGAGGTGCTTGCAGAGTGCTGCTGGATGGTTTTCTACATGCGATGTGCACAATGCTACAGGCAAATGCTGAAGCTTAAAGCACAGCCATGTTCATGGCTGGTCTGGCGTTCTCTTTGCAACGTGTTTGCTCTCCCATTATTTTTGGGCATAATACACAGCTTCAGCTCTCCATGCAATTGTGCATTCTTAGTTTACATGTGGCTGCAGACAGCAAATTGATGATGCCACCACATTTTTATTGTTTTTTGTTTTTTACAGGCAGCCAGCAGATGCCAGGAAGTGTTGCTTATTGACATTAATCATTACCCTGTTGATAGCCCTGGGCGTGCTGCTGTAATTGACCAGAACCAAATCCAGTAATCATATCATGGAAAATATACATCACATTTATTTCACATCTGAATTGCAGTAATATGAATTCATGGCAAAATTCTCAGTGACTACGTCAGAAGCAGGAGGAGAGCCTTTGTCTGCTAGCACAGATGTAACTAAGCTGTTAAGTACAGTCTGATGTGCTTAGGCAGGAGGCTGAGGCTACATCAAGAAGTTATAAAATTATCCTCCAGGATCTTGTAGCCTAAATCCTATTCAGATAAATATAGAGAAGTCTCTGTAGTTTGTAGTGTTTGTAGAACTGTGTTTTCCAATTGTGTTTTCTGTTGTTTTCTTTGAGCATTACCCTTCAATAGATGGGGCTGCTACAATCTCTTCAAAGAATATAAATACTCTATTAAGAATGTGTAAAAAGGCCTTCCAATAAGACAGTTGAAGAAGCGTTTCTTTTTACAAAATTATCTACAGAAAATGATGAGAACAAACAACAGCTGAACAGTAAAGCATCAAGAAGAAACACATCTGAGGTTTAATTTGATCACTTTATGCCTGGGAAACAGAATGAGGAGTTAGTTATTGAGCAATATTTGTATCACATTGACTATTGTGTTAATGAATTCAATTTTTATTAAATAGCATCAACATGTTAGATACTACACTGGAAAGAAATAAAGATCAGTAGTTAGCCAAAGTAGTCAACTGATTTTCTTTCTATGGTGAACATAAAATCTATGTTGTTTGTTCAACAAAACAGTTCTTAAAGAGATGAGGCTTGAGAATACCTTAAGTTGCCATGAACGGCAGGGTCCAGGGGGAACAGAAAAGATTTGATGTCAAAACTTGACTGCAGATATTCCTTTTGACCATTTCTTAGAGTCTTCCCTTACTTAGCTTACTTCCTAAGGAAGACAGCTTCTTCATAATGATAAGGAAACAGGCTGGTGCACGCAGCTGCCTTACCTTCACAAATTCACTTTGGAGATCTTTAAAATTTTCTGTTTCTTTCATGTTTTCATCTTTCTTTTTAGTCATTGTGGTACTTTTAAATACTGTGGTATTTAAAAGCTAAACAAAACCCAGAGTGTAGCCTTTTTGTTTCAGTTCTCCAGTAACAGAAATATTGCAGTCAACCAAAACTTCAAAAGCTACAAATTTAAGTTGACTGTTGCATCTTATCCAGCCGCATACTACTTCAGTTTGGGAAGCATATGCATTTTAACAGTGATTCTCAGTTTTCAAACCTAATTATTAGTAGCCAGAGAGAAATGGTTGAGACATTTCTGTTTTTCTCTAACTTGATCCACATGGGATCTCCTTTGAAAAACTTGTTGCTGTAAATTAAGCAAATCCTTAGGTGATTTGTTGTCTTAAAACTTCTGAGCCCAGGTTGAATGTGCTGTACAATCATATTATTTCCTTGTTGAAAACTGTACACCTTTGGTAATGAAATCAGAACACAATGAAGTTGGAATCCATCCTACCGTGACTTTATCCACACCTTTCTGCTCTATATAGACCTGCACTTAAAAGAACTGGTGAAAAATTCACAGTCCTGCTGCTTTCCCTGCGTCTACCCATTCCTAGGAAATGGCTGTCAGGTCAGTTAGTTATGTCCCAAGAGGAAAAACTTTAAAACCAAAGCTATCAAGGTTGAATTTCATATTGCTGTACCTCCAGAAAGGTTTGAGTTACATTAATGATGATTTTGTGGTTGAATTTCTTGGCCAGGGTGGTAAGTGAAGGACTTCCTGGTAATGAGATGCTCACCTAACTGGCTGGATGTCCAAATTTTCCTCTTAGTATTCAGCAAACCTGTAGGCTGCTTAAAATTCACCTTTTTCCATGTATATTCTTGGCCCCAGCTGCTTTTCCAAGTGCCAAAACTTTGCTAGGAAAAAATGAAGACCCGTAAGAATGCATACTCTGATTTTACTTCATGGAAGAGAAATCTTTTTCTATGCTGGCATTAAACTCTTGAAGGTGAACAAAGAGGGAGACATGCCTAGAAATGCACAAAGAAGCTGGGTTAATTAAGAGAGCTCCCACTGCCCTCCTTCATGAAAGCTGTTATGCTTTTGAAACCCTGGAGATGGTTTCACTGTGAATTTGTGAGGTTAGGAATACAGCTGGGATGCTGAGACTGTGGGCTGGGTGGTATGTATAGAATGTGTTTGATCAGTTTCCCCAGTTGTATTAGAAAGAGATGGCATAAAAGAAACAGGGTGGAAATAAGCAGAAAGGATGAGCAGCTCCCTCTGGGATAAGTCTGAACTGATTTAGATTGCGGGAAATCACTTTTTATGTTGAATGTATTTTCTTAGAGATTTCAGTGGGGAGATTTTTTTTTTCTGGTCTGTATCAAAATCACAGAAAATAGTTTTTAGCCTTCAGAAGCACATGACTCAAACTTTGCCATTCATTTTGCCAGACGTTAGCAAAGCAAGGTAAGGCCCAAATTTCTGTGTATACTTTCTTTCAAGTAATGTACCAATCTCATCTCACCCTCATTATTTTACACAATTAACGTTAGTCAGTTTTCAGTGATTTTCACTGTTCCAAAAAATACTTTTCTTGCCTGAAACACACCTACTGTGGGTGTACTTGAACACTACTATCACTGGTCTAAATACATGTAATTGCAGCATGTTGGACAAACAACATGGGTGATGGAAAACATGGTGCTGCTCTTTATAAGTCATTGAAGTTGAACAATGAATCTTCATCGCACCCTGTTAAGCTTACCAAAATTAAGGTTGTCCAGGAGATCATAACACTTTCATAAAAAGGAGGTACTTACAGCACTGTAAGTCGTATTTGGAGGCAAAAGCACCTTCAGCTCTCAGTGAGTATATAGAATGGTGCTGACATGCATCAGAATGCGTTGTGTCTCCTCTTCCCTGGTGAGCTGGGCTCTGATCATCTGATTCCTGTACCAGCAAGGAGGGATTTCCTTTGATGACAGGACCATGGATAAACATGGCAGAAAGTAAAGAGCATTAATGATAACAGATGTTGTAGTGTTTTGCTGTGTTTACAAGACTCCTCTGTACTTTGTGTATAATATGAATTATATATAAATGATTGATTCTCATTTGATTAATATAAGATGAAATGAGCAGCTCAGAGCTTTCTAAAGATGCAAATAAAGAACTCAGTGTCTGTTTGAGAAACTCTGTGGACTTGACAGCAGTCATTAAAAAATGATCCTTAATTAAATGGGCACCTTTAACTTTTGTCTTGCAAACCATTGCTCAGCTCTCTTTCCTTCCTATGTAAATATGGGGGCTGCACTGAGATTATAGTGGGAAAACAATATCAATTAAGAAAAGTTAAGGTGTCAGAATTAAAGGGAAAATAGTTTTAAAGTTTGTTTGATTGTTAAATGCAATCATTATGTGCAAGAGATGTCGCACTCACAGGTTCTCATCCTAGTGTGGTATTTCAACCACTCAGATATCCTGGGAAAACAACATGATGAGCTGTAAGCAGTTCAGGAGCCTCCTGGAGTCCATTGACAACAATTTGCTGGTGCAGGTATTGGACAGACCCAGTGAAGTGTTACTGGACCTGCTGTTCATCAACATGGAGGAGGTCACAAAAGAGGTTAAGATTGGAGGCAGTCTGGGCTGCAGTAACCATGCTGTGGTATAGTTCATGATCTCAAGGAACACAGGCTTGGCAAAAGAAGGAGTCAGGACCTTGAACTTAAGGAGAGCAAACTTCAAGCTGTGAACTGTTGGATGAGACACACTGGGAAACTCTCCTTAGGGACAAAGGAGCAGATCAGAGCTGGCAGTACTTTAAGGATGCCTTTCTGAGAGCACAAGAGCTCTCCATCCTCCAGAATAAGCAATCAGGCAGACAAGGCAGGAAACCAGCACGACTGTGCAAGGATCTCCTGGTCAGGCTGAATGAAAAATGTGGAGAAGTATAAGCAGTGGAAACAGGGATAGATGGCCTGGGAAGAATATAGGGATATTATCTGAATGTGCATTGATGGAGTCAGGAAAGTCAAGATGCAGGTGGAATTGAACCTGTTAAGGAACATGAAAAAACTACAAGAAAGTGTTCTTTAAATACACTGAGCAGAAGAGACAAGCAAAGGAGAGTGTACCCCCTCTGATAAACGAGAAGGGAATGCTGGCAAGGCCAAGTACAAGGCATTGCACTTGGATGGAGACAATCCCAGGTATGAGTAAAGACTGGGAAAACAGCTCATTGAGAGCAGCCCAGCAGAGAAGAACTTGTGAGTTCTGATGGATGAAAAGCTGGACACGAGTCAGCAGTATGTTCTTGCAGCTCAGAATGGCGACAGTATCCTGGGCAGCATGAAAAAAGGATGGCTAGGAGGATGAGAGAGGTTGTTCTCCTCTACACTGCCCTTGTGAGGCCCTACCTGGAGTAATTTGTCCAAGCCTGGGACCCTTTTGTACAGGAAAGATGTGGAGCTGTTGGAGTGGGTCCAGAGGAGGACCACGAAGATGATCAGAGGGCTGGAGACCCTCTCCTGTGAAGAAAGGTCGAAGAAGCTGGGCTTATTCAGATTGGAGAAAGGAAGGCTCCAGGAAGATCTCATTGTGGCCTTCCAGTACTTGAAGGGAGATAACAAGCAGGAGTGGGACCAACTTTTTACATGGTATAACTTTGATAGGAGAAGGGGGAATGGTTTTAAACTAAAAGAGGAGAGATGTAAGTTAAATGTTAGGAAGAAACTTTTTATTCAGAAAGGTGGTGAGGCACTGGTACAGGTTGCCCAGAGAGGTTGTGGATGCCCCATTTCTGGAAGTGATCAAGGCCAGGTTGAATGGTGCCCTGGGCAGCCTGATCTAGTGGGTGACAACTTTGCCCATGGCAGGGGTGTTGGTGCTTATGATCCCCTGCAACCTACGTCTATGACTCTATGATTCTATGTGTGCCTAAACTTTTTTTCAGTGTCTCTTCCCTTTGACTTTTATTCGGCAAGCAAGCAAGCTTTAAATAGCCAGAAGATTTAATTGCTTGTTGATGTGGAGCAGTAACAGTTATATGCTAGTTCAGCTCAAAATAATATTTGCTTATATTAGTGTTGTGCAAAACTTGAACTTCATGAAAACTCTGTGACAGTAGCAAAGGAGTGGGAGTCCTCCTCGCCTCTCAGAGAAGTTCCCCATAAACACTGCATGAAGAGCACCTTCATTCAGAAGCAGCTGTAGATCTATACATATCTGATGATTCATTGAGTGGTTTCTGGTGATCCTGGATACCTGAGTTTCCTGGTGCAGTGGCAGTAGCACTGACACATTTGACAAAAGAAATGGGACAGCTTTCCTTGTTATGCCCCTAGGGAAGATCGCATTCTCCCTCACTGTTAAGGAAGAGACTGTCAATCATCTTCTGAATGCAGGTTTCTTTCTGTTTTTCCATGTGATAAGGCATGATGGACGGCACCGAGGCAAGTCACATCCTCCACACATAAAGTTGGTTGAGATTGCCATTTTCATGGAGTGTTTACTCATTTCATCCTAAACTGTGATGGAAAGTTGAGGCGTGCTGAAACAATGCAGTTTGCAGATCCACTGAAAGAGCTGGCTAAGCCAACCCAGAGCTCTTAACACATTTTTGGTCTGAATGCTTCACAGAACACAGAATGGAGAAAAGAAAAAAGGCAGCAGGCAGCTTGCTTGCCAGTAACCAGGACTCTCTGAAGCTGATAGTCCCCATGTAGAAGCTTTCAGTGAGTGAAAGTAGATAAACCCACCTGCCCAGATGGGCTGATTAAATGGCCTCTGAGGGGGTAGGAAAACAGTGTGACACACGTTCAGATTGTGCACACTTTAACATTCATTGTCATTCTTTCCTGAGTGCCATGTCACAGTGTTAGCAGCTGGGGCAATCTGTGGAGGAGCTCCAACAGTGAGTCTATGGACAGGCCAGTACTTAAACCCACTGTGAGAAGGAGGACCAACCAGCCCTTCTATGGCTGTAAAACACCAAAATAATAATACAAAAATAACAGCCAGCCAAATTGCAATGCTCAGAAGTGCTCCATGGCATCGCCTGTCTCGCAGTCATGGCCTTGGTGAGCCATTCCTGAAGATGAGAGAGCCTGTCTACCAAAGCCACTCATTTGTTGTCTTCCCCATCCTGAACCCATTTTGCCATCATTTCCAGAATTGCATTTTCCTTACACTGCTGAGAAGCTGTGAGCTGCTTTTATGTGAAAAAGTCATGAAGTCGGATGAATGCTCAGGAATGTGGAAGCTGAGGAAAATTTGAGTCATAAGTGACTGCAGTATTTGCATGAGACTCTTTGTCTGACTTAGAAATACTGTGAAATTTTTGATCTGGGATAGTTCTAAAAGGTTGGGGTTTTTTCTTTCTTTGTGTTTACTCCCTAGGTGAATAGGGCAGTGTGTCTTCCTGGCCATAGAAGCAGCATCGAGGTGAAGCTCTGCTGGCAGATTTTAGGGTCTGTTGAATCTCTACTCTGAGCTTTGCGGGAATCTGCGACACAATTGTGGTATTTTGGAGTAAACATTTTAAACAGGAGGAGCAATTTTCAGTAAACCATAGGGAGGGTGGGAGAGAAGATTTGCCGTTGGAAGAGGAAGCTGGAAATAAAGGCTTTTGTTTCTTCCTGCCTGGAGAGGTCACCCAGTGTCTCTGAACTTCCAGTTACCTCCTATAAAAAATATTACAGCTGTTAATGCACACCATTGTAGTTCCCAAGCGCACAACCAGACAAGCTGAATGGCAGAGCTGGTCATTGTTGTTTTTCTGGAAAGAAGAAAAAACGGAGCAGAATAAAATGAGTGCAAATTGTAAAGTCTTTTCACTCTATTTTGAATTGCTGTAATAAAAAAGGCCAACACGTAACAACCACATGGAGAGTTACACAGGAACGATAAGATATCCTTGTGCCTGGGGAAGCACAGCTCATTGCTCCCTGGTCAGTCATACTCTGGAGCCCACAGAGAAGCTGGCTGTGCCAGGTCATTTGCTGACAGACATCTGCATCCAACTTGGAACACAGCCCGAGTGCCTGGTAGGAGAACTCTGTAGAAAAAAACAACAGCTGAATATCAGGTTTGTACCATAAAAGATATATACAAAGGTCTCAAATCGACATTATGCTGAACCTTATTTTTACATTTCCTAAATTTTAAGTGCCTGACTTTGCACCTTATCAATATCCATAGGGGTTTTTCTTCCTTTACGTTTTGTTATTGTTACGAGAAGCTCTGACCACACTTCAAGTACTACGAGCAGTCCCAAAGAAACCTGCAGGTTATTGGGAAATATATTAATTTGTTCCAGATCTCACTTCACTTATCACCACTGGTTTTGGAAAGCAGCAACTTTAAAGCAGGGTTGCAAATTGTTTCAGCATGTTAAAAACCACAGTGGTGTGTAAGTTCATCCGTGTATGCCATATGTCTTAAACAGAGATGTGCATTTTATGTCAAACATTCAAAATGACCACTTAAGAACATGGGATTTTATTTAAATTTTGGCTGCCCGGTAAGTGTTTGACTGCATTTCCACTAAATAATAATGACATCAAGAGCTTTGTTAAATTAACCACAAGACCAGTATGTATTTCCTATAGCTTTCTCAGGGGACGTCCAGTACACTAATCCTGCCAAAAGGCAACATATGAAAATATTGTAGGGACTCAGTGTATGTGGAGTAAGGCTGTAGATGACTGTCAGGCACTAGTGTCCAGCATAGACCTGTGTAACTCAGTGTTATTGCTGCTATTCTGGAATGTGACATAAATACTCAACAGTTTGATGTCAGTCCCTTTGGGGTGGGCTGACCACCGGGATATATGAACAACGACGCTCTGCTGATGCTGGGAAATTCACAGCACATCTGTTTTTCTATCTCTTTTGTACCATTGGGTTTCAATACTGAAAACTGCTGCCCCAGGCTGTGTACACAAGCAAACATTGGCTCCCTTTTTGCAGATATATGAGTAAGTCTGTCTTTGCTCAAAGATCCAACTAGAAGTGACTGTTTTATTTCCAGTACCTACTGATGAAATGTTTCAGGGAGCTGATCTGGCGACAGAAATAATGTCAGGTGAAATAGGTATAACACAAAAAGCATGTACTTCAGTAAAGAATTACAGTGAATTTCTTCCAAGAAAAACAAATA